GGCTTGGCCTGCCCAGCTCTAACCCCGCCAGGTGTGTCGGGGGGGTGGAGGGGGGTGGGGAGTCACTCACCTTGGCCTTTAACCGCGTCCACTCCCGGCGCTCCACCCTACAGGGAGAGGGAAATTTAGAGGCAGCCCAGCCTCCTATGGCTCTGCCCCCACTGCTCTGCAGCCCCACCCCCTTCCCAAAGCTCTACCCAACCCCTCCCCACAACTTCGCCCCTGTGGCCCTTTACCTTGCTCTGCAGCCCCACCCCGAAAGCTCCACCCCTCCTCTTTGGCCCCTCTTAGAGAAAGAGCTTAGAAAAAGAGGAGACTAAGGGGAGGGATATGATAGAGATCTATAAAATCATGACAGGTATCGAGAAAGTAAATTAAAAAAGGTATTTACTTATTCCCATAACATAAGAACTAGGGGTCACCAAATTAAATTAATAGGTAGCAGGTTTAAAACAAGCAAAAGAACTGTCAATCTGTGGAACTCCTTGCCAGAGGATGTTGTGAAGACCAGGACTTTAACAGGGTTTAAAAAAGGAGCTAGATAAATTCATGGAGGACAGGTCCATCAATGGCTGTTAGTCAGAATGGGTAGAGATGGTGTCCCAAGCATCTGTTTGGGACACGGGTAACAGGGGAGGGATCATTTGATGATTCCCTGTACTGTTCATTCCCTCTGAGGGCACCTAACATTGGCCGTCAGAAGACAGGACAGTGGGCTACACGAACCTTTGGTTTGACCCAGTCTGGCTGTTCTTATATTCCTCCCTCACTCATCTGCTGCCCTTCTCTCTTCCATAGTCCTGCTCCAATCCCTCCCCACAACCTTTCCCCTGTGGCCCCTCCCTCTGCTCTACAGCCCTGTCCCCTTCGCAACCACTCCTTGGCAGTCCCTTCCCCTTTCCCCAACCCACCCCTCCTGCCCTGGCACCTTTCCCCCTTCCTACAATGCCCTCCCCATACCGTCTCTTGCTGGGCACGAAGCCGATCTCATCGCCTTCACTGTCGGGGTGCACCCGCCGCGCCTGCCACCACTCGTCGTCCGAGGCATCGACCACGTGCAGCACATCCCCGAAGCGGAAGCTCAGCGCCTGGCTCAGGAACCCACAGTCCTTTGTCTTGTCATAGTCAAACAGCGCCCTGTGGGGGTGGAGTGGTGGGTCAGACAACCCAGGAGTCCTGGCTCCCAGCCCCCCTGCTCTAACCCATTAGCTCTACTCCCCTCCCAGAGCCAGGGAGAGAACCCAGGAGTCCTGGCACAGCTCTTCCCCCTCCTGTAGAATCACTATGGCTGTATGCATGTAAACAGCCAGGCTATATCTACACTGGCATGATTTTCCGGAAATGCTTTTAACGGAAAAGTTTTCCGTTAAAAGCATTTTCGGAAAAGAGCGTCTAGATTGGCAGGACGCTTTTCCGCAAAAGCACTTTTTGCGGAAAAGCCTCCGTGGCCAATCTAGACGCGGTTTTGTGCAAAAAAGCCCCGATTGCCATTTTCACGATTGGGGCTTTTTTGCGCAAAACAAATCTCAACTGTCTACACTGGCCCTTTTGCACAAAAGTTTTGCGCAAAATGGACTTTTGCCCGAACTGGAGCAACGTAGTATTTCCGTAAAAAGCACTGATTTCTTACAGTAGGAAGTCAGTGCTTTTGCGGAAATTCAAGCGGCCAGTGTAGACAGCTGGCAAGTTTTTCCAGAAAAGCGGCTGATTTTCCGGAAAAACTGGCCAGTCTAGACACAGCCCCACAGTGTGAAACAACTGGGTAGACAGGCAGACAATATTTCTATGCAAAAATATTCTTTTCCTTCCCCCGAATTCAGAGACCCCATCTGCTAAACCAGATACCGCACCAGTCTGTGGGAGATAGAGGGTCTCTGGGGATTCTGTAGGGTTGGAGGTTTGTGGGAGGCCAGGGGAGTCTATGGGGGGCCAGTAGGGAGGGGAGCTCTGCAGAGGGGTCCATTAAGCACTCAGAGGGTCTGTGAGGGCTGGGGCTCTATAGGAAGACCCCATGGGGGCTGGAACTCCATAAGGGGGTCTGTGGGGCTGGGATTTCAGCTGTCTATGGGGGCTAGAAGGGAGGAGAGATTCAGGGGCTCAGAGGGGCTCTCTGGGGGCTGGGTGGGTCACTCACCGGATATAAAAGCCCCGCTTGGGGTTGCTGCGCAGTGAGGCGGTGCCAGACCCCAGGCTGCTGTTCATGAGCTGCTCCCGCAGGTCGTGGATTTTGGCCTCGAAGCGACTATACTCTGGAGAGGGGATGGGGGTATCAGGCAACACCTTGGTCCTCCCCCCTTGCAAACGTCCCAGCCACTGGCACCGCTAGCTCATCCTCCTATGTTCCCACTACACTACATGCTGCGGAGCTTCTTGACCTCACCCAAGCCCCTTCCTGTACCCCAATCCCTCATCCCCAGCCTCACCACACAGCCCAGAGCCCTCAGCTCCTCCCGCACCCCATCTACCATCCCAAGTTCTGAGCCCCCATTTAGAGATCTCACCCAGCCTCTCAGACCCACCCCACCACACTCTCTGTGCACAGAGTGACTTTCATTACGAGACTCATCACCTCCATAGTGCACATAACGAAAGCCATTCTCCACATAAATCTTAGAGAGAACGCGGCTGTCCTCCCGTGGGCCCTCCCTCGCTCTGCGAGGCTGGGTGAGATCTCTAAATGGGGGCTCACTCTGTCCCTCCAGCCACAACCACCGTTCTCCCACCCTCCATCCGCCCACCCAATGCCCCAATTATCCATCTGCCCGCCCAACTTTCATCTCTACCCTCCATACATCCATCTGCCCATCTTCTATCCTCACCCTCCATCCACCCACCCAGCACCCCAACTATCCATCCATCTGCCCTACCCTTCATCCTCACCCTTCATCCATCCACCCACCCAACACCCCAACTAACCACCCACCCACCGCCCCAACTATCCATCCACCTGCTCAATTTCATCCTCACCCTCCATCTATCCACCCGCCCAACGCCTCGACTATCCATCTACCTGCCCAACCTCCATCCTTACCTTTTATCCATCTACCCAATGCCACAACTATCCATCCACCTACCCAAACACCCCAACTACCCATCCACTCACCCAACGCTCCAACTATCCATCCGCTCACCTAATTTCATCCTCACCCTCCACCCACCCACCCAATGCCCCAACTATGTATCCGCTCACCCAACCTCCATCCTCACTCTCCATCCATCCACCCACCCAGTGAACATAAGAACATAAGAACGGCCGTACTGGGTCAGACCAAAGGTCCATCTAGCCCAGTAGCCTGTCTGCCGACAGTGGCCAGCACCAGGTGCCCCAGAGAGGATGGACCGAAGACAACAATCAAGCGATTTGTCTCCTGCCATCCCTCTCCAGCCTCTGACAAACAGAGGCCAAGGACACCATTTTATCCCCTGGCTAATAGCCTAACCTCCATGAATTTATCCAGCTTCTCCTATCCATCCACCTGCCCAACCTTCATCCTCTCCCTCCATCCATTCACCCACCCACCCAATGCCCCAACTATCCATCCTCCTGCACAAGTTTCATCCCTTCCCGTCATCCATCCATCCACTCGCCCACTGCCTCAACTATTCATCCACCTGCCCAGCCTCCATCCTCACCTTCCATCCACCCATCCACCCACCCAATGCCCCAACTATTCATCTGCCCGCCCACCCTCCATCCTCACCCTCCATCCATCCACCCACCCAAAACCCCAACTATCCATTCACCTGCCCAATGCCCCAACTATCTACCCATCTACCCAACCTCCATTCTCATCCTCCACCCACCCACCCAATGCCCCAACTATCCATCCATCTACCCAACATCCCAACTACCCATCTACTCATCCAATGCCCCAACTATCCATCTGCCCACCCAGCCTCCATCCTCATCCTCCATCCATCCACCCACCTACCCAGTGCCCCAATTATCCACCCACCCAGTGCCCCAACTATCCACCCACCAACCCAGCTTCCATCTCCACCCTCCATTCATCCACCCACCTAATCTGTCTATTCATCCCCCCACAGCTCTATCCTCACCCTCAGTGTGACATGTATCCATCCTCCTGCCCAACCTCCATCTGTACACCCAACAAACATCCCAACTCTCCATACACTCACCCAACTTTCATCCCCAGACTCTGTCCATCTATCCACCAAACCCCTCTATCCTCCACTCACAGAACTGCTATCCCCCATCCATTCAACCCCCCTCCCATCCCACTACGTGGCCATCCAACCTTCATGCAGCCCCTCATCCTTCCAGTGCCCACCCATTCACTCCAGACCTATTGGTCTCCCCATCTGAAGCCTACTGCTCCCTCCAGAGCCCCCATACGTGGGACATGCCTCCAATGCTGCCTCCCCCACCCTGTTGGGACTCACCATCAGGTTTATACTGGGCGATGATAGTCACCGTCTGGCCAGCATTTTTCAGTGCGATTGCAGCCTGTTCATGGGTTGCATTCCTGAGATCCACACCATTCACCTGCAGGAAGAGGGAACCCATGTCAGCAGGGTGGGGAATGAGGCACAGGGGCCTGTCCCATCTATGGGGTGCCAGCTCCCATCTAGCCCCAGGGCAGGGACTGGCTGGCTCAGAGGGGTGGGGAATGGGGCCTGTACAATCTAGGGGTGCTAGCTCCCATTGGCCCCAGGGCAGGGACTGGTTGGCTCAGAGGGGGCAAAAGGATCCTTACCGAGAGGATCTGGTCCCCTTTCCGCAGCTCCCCACTCAGGTCAGCCGGCCCCCCAGCTAGGATGAAGGAGATGAAGATTCCCTCGCCATCCTCTCCCCCAACAATATTGAATCCTAGGCCGGTCGAGCCACGGTGGATGATGATCCTGCGGGGTTCCCTGGGGGGTAGTGTGGGGATAGAGAGGTCAGGAACTCTGCTGGATAGGGGGCAATCACTAACAGACTCCTGCAATACCCCATCAACCAGCGTCCACAGTAGGAGAGGAAGATGCCCAGGATGATAAGATGTTTGAGGCTTCACTGTATGGACACTGTAGCTTACAGCATGCAGCTGAACTTCTTGTAGGGGCCGATAGCTTACCCATGCGGCTGTATGCTGGTGCACTGCTGCAACTTAGTATGTGTTTGCCTCATGCATGCTTACTTTGCATTACTCCTTGATCAAACAGAATTGCTAAGTTCCTATAGATTTATTCCTTATACCAACCTGGAATGAAATAGTTCAGATGCCCCTTAAGGAGGTTCTGACAACCCCACTAACTGATTTTGGCAAGCTAGCCAGGAGTAATGGACCTCCATAACCTGTAGCTTGCACAAGCACCTGTGCACATTTGCTGGTACATCTGTTCGCATGTAGGTGATGTGTACACCTAAAAATGCAGATAAGCTGGTGCACTTGTCCTTTAGCATGAGGCTGTAAGAGCTACACGGACAAGCAGCATACCTGTAACTTATCTACATGCTTGTAGCCTCTATAGGCACTGCTTACAGGATGTGGTCTCATATACATTGACACGCACTCTGGTTTGAAAACTTATACATCATGTGGATACTTGAACATTACATGGTAGCAGGTAGGTCATATGTGTGGCTGTATGTTAAATGTCTGCCTGTATATTCCATATGTGGCTGTATATTCTGCAAACACCTACACAGCACATGAGTACCTCACATAGTTGCCTGTTCATTATGTGCCCTCTGTATGTCACGAAAGCGTCTGTATTTTATGTGGATGCCCTATATCAGATAGATGCCTGCCTGTTATTTGTGCACCTGTGTGTCGTTTATATGCTTATGTGGCTGCACATTACCTGTGTGCCCGTCTCTTATGGCATGAGGCTGTGCATTACCTGTATGCCTGTGTGTTATGATGTATGGCTGTATGTAACCTGTATGCCTATGTGTCATGGCAAGTGGTTGTATGTTACCTGTGCACCTGTCATCTGTCAGTGTGTGGCTGTCCATTACTTGGGCACCTGTGGCATGTACATCTCTATATTTTGTCTTCACCTGTCCATCAGGTGCCTGCACTTCACCTGGACACCCAAGAAGAGGCCACAAAGGAAGTGATTGCTGCAAATCATATCCCCCATTCTAGTCTGTTGCCTTCCTCCCTAGGCAGGGGTGGGCAATAATTTTTGATGTGGGGCCACTCCAAGATTTTGCAAAGTGGTTGATGGCCGCACTCTTCCACGATATTAATGGAGGCGGTGCGGGGTCTGGGATGGAGGTTGGGTGCAGAAGGGAGGCTGGGGTAAGGGATTTCATTGTCCAGGTGCAGGCGGACCTGTGAGGTTGGGAAGGTGGCAGTTGTGACCTGGGGCATGGGATTGGGATGCAGGGGTTTGGGCTGTGACCTAGGGCAGAAGGGGATTGTGATCTGGGGCAGAGGACTGGGGTGCAGCATCTGGGAGGGAGTATGGGCTCAGGAAGGGGGCAGAGGGAGGGGCTCAGGTGCCAGAGGTGGACTCTGGCCGGGAGACTTACCAGTGAGACACCCGGCCAGCAGCCCTGCACGTTTCTGAGGCAGGAGTCTACCCCACCCTTGCACAGGCTGCAGGGCCATGTGCTCTGTGAATAAGAGCCTGAGGGGAGACGCTTTGTGCACTGCCTGTTCTTGAAACAGACAGCTCCCATTGGCCAGAAACTGACTAATGGGATTGTGCTGGGGGCGGGAGCAGCTCATAAAGCACTACTCCCCCCAGTTTGTGAAAAACAAACAACCCAGAAGCCGCTTTTCTGAGCAGCATGTGGGGGCAGGGCAAGGAGGGGAGTCTGCCTGAGGCTCCTTGCTGTGTATGCAGGCCCGATCCAGTGACTCAGCAGGACAGATATGGCCTGCCCTAGGAGGTAGCCATCAGCCCCCAGGGAATGGGCAGGGGTTTTGCTCACCTGGGTATGTCCTCTTCCCCCATCATCTCCTTGGGTATGGGGGAGTAGCGCCGGGGAGAGGTGGGGGTCATGGCTTGTGGGTAGTCAGTCCCCAGGTAACTCTGGTGGCTGATTTCATTGTCCAGGTGCTGGGAGTACGCTGTGGTGGGGAGTGATAAGGTGCGGTGTTAACACCTCAGATGAAGCCACCTTTGGTGCAGGAACCTGCCCAGCTCCTTGCAGTACAGCATCCCAGGGGTGGGTGGGCAAGAGGCGCCACTAGATCCAGCTCACGGCTGCCTCGCTGAGACCCTTAAGCACAGTCAAGCTGCAGCCACTTTAAAGGCGTCTGTTCTATGCTTTGGATGCTGAGGGAGCAAGGAGGGAGGCTTTGTGTGCTGTCCTGCCCCCCAACAAAATCTCTCAGCTCCATTGGCCAGTTCCTGGCTAATAGGAGTTGAAAAACGTTGCTGGAGGTAGGGGCAGTCATTGAAGTGTCCTCCCATCCCAACCCTGCCCAGAGCAGAGCCATGTGGAGCAGCCTGCGACTGCAGCTCAGGTTCCTGCAGGGCTTCTGGTTGGAAGCCACCTAAGTAAGCTCCCCCCAGCCAGAGCCTGCCTCTGGCACTCACTCCCTCTTCCCCCCCAGACTACCTGCCCCAGTCCACCACACAAACCCTCTGCACCCCCTTCTCCCAGTTCACAAGTCCCTCCCAGACACTGTACCCCCTCCTACAGCCCTCCCTCAGGACAGAATCCTCCACCTGGACCCTGCCCCAGATTACAATCCCCTTCTTCACCCAAGCCCCCTCTCAGACTCCACACCCCTACTTGCAAGGGGAGAGCGCCCCCTGCTGAGCCCCCACCCCACTCCCTGCCCTACAGCGCCCCCTAGCGCCCTCCTGGGGCCAGCCCTGTCTGGCAGGGGAGAACACTCCTGGTAGCTCTCACAGGTGGTGATGTCGGGCGGGGCATAGGAGTCATTGAGGTACATGTTCGTGGGTTTCGCCACTTTCAGGTAGACGACATCATACGTGTTCTTCAGCGCGGCCACTGCATCCTCATGCATCACGTCCTCCAGGCTGACATTGTTTACCTGTGAGGCAGGGCAGTGAGGACGCAAGGTCAGACCCATCTACTCTCCATGCCCTGACTGGCCTGCTGGCTTTGGAAATATCCAGTGGCAGGGAGTCTCACAGGAAAATTCTGTCCTGGGGACACCCTCAACCAGCTCAGCACTCCTCACTCCACCAATAAGTGCCTCCCATTCAGTATCCTACCCTCAGGTAGGCCCCGCCCACTTAGATACCTCCTCTCTGCTGAGCCCCTCCCACTCAATCAAGTTCCTCCCTCTGCTTATTCCATCCCACTCTGCTAAGCCCCTCCTCCCTCAGCTCCTTCCCTTCCATCAGGCCCTGTCCAGCTCACTTCACTCAGTGATGCCCCTCTCACTTAGCTTTTTCTCACACGTAGGCCGCTCCCCCTCCAATAAGCCCCTCCCCTCTCAGCACCCTCCCTCCAGGGCCCCACCCCCAGGGTCTCCATTAACCTCTGCCTGGTTGGGGGGGACGACTCACCGCGAGGATCTTGTCCCCAATCTGGAGGCGTCCATCCTTGTGAGCAGCCCCCCCCTCGATGATCGTGGTGACGTAGATGCTGTTGTCCCCGGGGATATGCTGGTTGTCCACACCCCCTGCGATGCTGAATCCC